TCGGTCCCTGCACTGCACCTGTTTCCCCACACGGCATGCAGGAAGGAACCTGCCTGGAGTGGAAGATGCTGGGGACAGAGCTGAGAGGGGCCCGTGGACGCAGTCACCTCAGCCCAAACACCCAGTTTTCACAGCTCAAACCACAGGGCCTGGCTGGGGTTTGATGTTCCCTGTCTGATCTTAGATTTAGAGAATGCTTTCCAGCAAGCGCTCTCAGGCTGGCCCCCTTCAAGGTAGGCAGTGAAGGAGCCTGGCTGGTGACCGGTGCGCCTCGCACGTCCTGCAGCGGACAGCGGCATCGGTCCTTCCTTCCTGACCATGGAAATGCTTCCAGCAGAGGAGAGCTTAGGAGCTGACTGGACAGCTCACAGTGGCCCAGGAACCCTGGGCCTTAGGAGCTGACTGGACAACCTCACAGTGGCCCAGGAACCCTGCGACCCCCCACGGTCCCGTGGAACGAGGGCAGAGGGAAGTTCTGGTCTCACAGAAGCAACCAGAATGGGGTGTGTGTGACAGGAGGGCCCCAGCTTCCGGCCTCATGTCACCCTCACCAGGGTCAGAGCCCCCTGGGGAGATTTGGGAAGCAGGAGGCATGCAGGCCATTGGCATGAATGACTCCAAAAAAACACTTGTCCTTACTCTCAAATCACTTAGGAAGAGGGAGCCGCCAAAAGGAAGAGAGCCCGGCACCAGGCTCAGCTCCGCCGGCTGCAGCGGCCTGCGCCTGGTGAAGGCTGCGCTCGGGCTCCCTCCACCTCCCCGGCTGTCAGACCCCTGGGCGAGACCCACATCTCAGGGGCCCCTAACAAAGCCTGTTTGCATCACAACCCAACCTGAACCAGGCACAGACCCTTGGCACAGGATCCAGGTCAAGATCAAACGGAATTTCAGAAGCTGGGAGCTCCAGAGGGCGAGCAGCAGCCTGCGGCCATGCTGGCACCAGGAGGAGGCCCGTGCCTCCGGGCGACAGCCAGGGCCATGGGCAGCTGACGCTGCAGACCGGGCCTCAGGACACTGGGAGCCCTCGTTCGGTGCCCAGGACATCATAGAAGGCCACTTGATTGTTCCCAACCTTTTTGTCTCTGGCGGTGGGAACTGGGCCGAGGTCAAGCAGGAGCCCCAGGCAGCCACGTGGAAGGGTGGCCACAGGCAGCCTTACTCTCCTCAGTCTTTCCCATCCAGCCAAACCGGTCTGCCCTCTCAGGGACTTTCCAAGAATCATCAGACAGCTGTCAAATGCCAGGACTACCCAGTCTAGGGTCACCCGCCCACTCTCAGGCACCGCGGGGCCTGGCCACAGGAACCTCGCTGTACAGAGGCCCTCAGTGGGAAGAAAAGGGTCACCCCCGGGCCCCAGCCCTGCAGATGAAGGAAGGGCCACCTGGAGCACATTTCATCCCAAGCTGAGCCAGGTCTCCCCACGGGTCAAGTTCAGCCGGTAAATTTCACTTCCTCGGGCGACTTGGACAACAGTGAGTCTGACAGAAGGAAGCATCTTCCTTCCTGAGGTCAGAGCAAACCAGCATCTGGCGCCTGTGCAAAGCAGACAGACCGGAGGAAACCAGAGGCCGGCCCTAAGGGTCCTGCAGGCCTCATCGTCCGTCTGTCCCTGGAACTCTGTGCCCCACTTCCTCTCCGTGTGGCAGCTGCCAGCTGAGGGCCGGGCAGGCTCCCCAGGAGGGCCCGGTGTCCCGGCTGCACGTGGGCTGGGGGAGTCTGGGGCTTTACCTGGAGGCCAGGAGTTTTCCCCAGACAGGCACAGGGCAGCTCCCACCCCGAGTTTCCCAGGAACGGAGCTCAGAGCTGCAGGGTCCCGAGGTAGCGCAGGGAATGCAGCCTCAACTCGGTCCCGGAGCCGAGCTGCCCAGCAAATGTTCCCAAATGAGAGGAAGCAGAAGTGCAGCCAGAATCCAAGGACAAGGGAAAGAACCGAAGGAAACGGAATTGCAACCAACAGCACCGGGAACACAGAAGCCGCGGGGCAGATGCACCCCATTTTGGTTGCTCCTGGGAGACCAGAACGTCCCTCTGCCCTCATCCCCCAGTGACAAGCCTGCTCCCGTGTAATCCAGGACACTCGGAGTGGGACAGGAGAGCATGGCACTACCAGACAGCTCCGAGGATGCTCTGGGACCCAGGAGAGGCAGGCAGTAAGCAAGTCCACAGAGAGGCGGGGCTGCTGGTTCTGCCTGAGCCTGGAGGGGGGCCTCTCTGTGTGTATTTGCTTACAGGCGAGGCAGGAGAACCAGGGTGGGAGGGAGGCGCCACCTCAGACGCTTTTCTATCACCTCAATTTTGAAGCATGTGACTATAGTAACAGTTTTTTAAAACTGCATTAAATTTAAAAATAAGGAAAACAATTGCCACTGAAGGAATGCTGCCTTAAGAATAAAGTGGGAGGCCCAGCCGGGGTGGCTCAGCGGCTGCGCATCGACCTGTGAGCCAGGAGATCTCAGTTTGATTCCCGGTCGGGGGCATGTGCCCGGGTTGTGGACTCAGTCCCCAGCAGGGGGCGTGCAGGAGGCAGGCGATCGATGACTCTCATCACTGATGTTTCTCTCTCCCTCCCTCTCCCTTCCTCTCTCTGAAACCGATAAAGACGTATTAAATGAACAAATAAATAAGGTGGAAGAACGTGACTGGGCCAAGGCGAAAGGCCCGCCGCGACCTAGAACACCGCGCTTCTTCAGGAGGCATTAAGGCCCTCCCCGGGCCACATCCTCACCCAGGCCCGCGTAGGTCCTCCGTTTGCTCAGGCTGGCGGCTTTCACCAAGAACATGCAGGACTGGTGCGTCATCCAAGAGCAGAACGCCAAGAGCAGGGCCCCCAGCACGATGCCACACTGGAGGGTGAAAGAAAAAGAGACACTGACAGCATGAAGCGGGCCTGGTGTCCTCACCGCACACAGTGAACGCTTCCAAAAGCCCCTCCATGGCCCTCGCCCACCCCTGCAGAGGCAAGGCCCTGTCTGTGGGGGCCGCACGCTTTGTCTGGGTTGTAAGACCTGTGCGTGATCCTGAAAGAGCAGGGACCACCTCCCTCCCCGCCCCTCCGAGAGTCCGAATACGGGCTCCACGCGTCCCTCGGTTCTCTGCACACCCCGCCGTGTGCCACCTCCTAGCCACCCGGATCAGCAGCTACAAGTGGTAAGTGTTCTGGAAGGAAGAGATTAAAAATGGCATTTACACCTTTCTTATACATTAGACAGACATGTCCCATCCGACCCAGCAACCACGCTCCTGGGTATGCACCCCGGAGATGTGGAAACGTGTTCACGCAAAAACCTGTGCACCGACGTTCACAGCAGGCTTCTCCGTGATCCAAAAACTGAGGAAACAACCTCCTGGTACCTGCTGGAGCTGAACGCATACATATCCTCCAATCCGGCCCTTTCCTCGGAGGTAAATTCCCCACAAAAGGCAGACAGAGTCGGACCCTGTGCATGTGTTCATAGAGCTCCAAACAGGACACGCCAGGTGTGCCCGGCAGAGGTAAAGGAATACACTGTGGTACATCCATACAGTGGAACGCTAGCCAGACATTAAAACCGGGCATCGCACACCTCCCTTTCCACGGAGCTCAGAAACAGGCGACACTGACCTCTGGGGCCAGCAGCGGGCAGCGGACCCTTCACAGGGAGGCCGCGGTCGGAGGGCTGCGGGCAAGGTCGCGCTCCCTAATTCAAGAGCTAGTTACATGTGCTCACTCACTTCACGAAAATTCATCAGGACCACACCTAAAATATGTGCAGTTTTCTGTATACACATTATACTTCATTAAAATGTTAATTTTCAAAACAAACACCAAAATGACTAAAACCAACCAAAAAAAAAAAAAAACCACACAAAAAAAAACTTTTTAAAAATGACTTGTTTGTCACACACTAAAATTACACACACCCCCCCTAAGCTGCAGCCAGGGGCTCCCCTGGGAGGAGATGCCGAGCCCACGGGACAGCGGCCACCCTTAACTTGGCCGGGCCCTCTGCACAGGTGACCATTGCCAGTCCTCGGCTCACTAGGCTGTGAGCTCTTGCTAAGCAAGTCAGCCTGGCCATGTTTAAATGCCCGGGCCGGGGCCATGTGACCCCCCCCCCCCACACACACACACACACACACACACGGCAGACACTCAAGTCCATGGACAGCCACGGTGGCACCTCCCACACAGGCATCAAGGCTGGCAGCGTGGGAGGTGCAGATGGGCAGCCAAACAACTACACGACCCAGGGTGCAGTTCCGTGCCAGGCAAGTCGCAATGCACACTGGGACACGTAGTCCTTCCAGAAACGCCCAGCGCTGGCCACCCACCAGGGATGCTCGATGCCCAGATACAGGTGTTGCCCCAGGGGCGTGAGGAACTGCCAGCCAGGCCTCCCACAACTGCCTGCATGCCACCATCCTCCTGCCAACATGCCCGCCAGCCACGTCAGACGCATCCTCAGGCAGACAGGCTGCAGGGCTCTAGGTGGGGGACCGAAACTTTTTTTTTTTTTTTTTGCAGTTTTTACCCAAAAGACGCTAAGTGTGAAAAATGCAAAGTGTCTGTTAATCTAAAATTAAACTACTGGGGCTCATTTTCAGTTCCAAAATGACCATCTTATTTCCATTTTCCTACCTATTTCATTTCATCACATAAGACTCCTCCACCACCCCTCACCCTCAGGGGCAGGGGGAGCAGCAACCCTCCCCTCCCCGCCAAACGCACCGAATGCCTATTTATTTGTGGGTTGTTTAAACAGAAGCTACATGGAGCCACAGATCGGAAACGGCGGCTTTCTCTCAGGCGGCATTTAATGTCGGATGCTACTGATTTTAAGGGCTGAGACTTGTTTCAGTGTTTGCATCGGCCTCTGCGGACTGCGCGGCCCTCCGCTGTGCAGTCTGGCAACTTTGTAGCCGCCGCGTAGCCAGCGCCCCCCGTTCCCCGCCTGGAGGGCTCGACCTGCCTGCTTCTGACCGCGAGCGCGGTGGGGTCGGAGTTTTTTTTAAAAAGCGATAAAAGTCGCACTGACCCCTCGGATCGATCATTTTGCTTCGCTACACCTGCCGCCCTGTCTGAAGTTACTAAACGTGCGGGACGTGCTGCCGGCGCCAATGCTGAGCTCCGGGTGCCGCCTGCAGACCCCGGGGCGGAGCGCGCCCACCCAGCCCTGGGCACGGGGGGGGCAGAGGGCGGCGACCGCGGCCCGCGGACTCACCTGTTTGAAGCAGAAGGGCATGGTCAGGACACTGACCCCTACTATGCTGTTCACTATGTTCATGATCAGCCCCCAGTTGGAGGCGGCGGCCGCGGTCATAGCGCCGAGTTGGGGGCCCGGGAGCCCGGGTGCGAGGCGCCGGGACC